TATTTTTTCTATTTCTTTGAAGAATGACATTGAAATTTTTATTGGAATAGCATTGAATCTATAAATTGCTTTTAGTAGGATGGACATTTTGATAATTTTAATTTTTCCAATCCATGAGCAGGGGATGTCTTTCCATTTCTTTGTGTTTTCTGCTATTTCTTTAACAGTGTTTTATAGTTTTCTTTGTATAGGTCCTTTACCGCTTTTGTTAGATTTATTTCCAAGTATTTGATTTTTTTTTATAATAAAAAGGATGGTTTTCTTGATTTCTTCTTCTTCAGATTTATTGTTTGTGTATAGAAAGTCTACTGATTTCCGTGTGTTGATTTTGTATCCTGCCACTTTACTGAACTGATTGATGAGTTGAATTACTTTTTCTGTGGAGTTTTTGGGGTTCTCTATGTATATTATCATATCATCTGCAAATAGTGATAGTTTGACTTCTTTTCCTATTTGGATTCCTCGTATGTCTTTCTCTTGTCTTATTGCTCTGGCTATGGAATTCCAGTATTATATTGAAAAGCAGTGGTGAGAATGGACATCCTTGTCTTGTTCAGATCTTAATGAAAATGCTTTCAGCTTTTCACCATTGAGAATGATATTGGGTATGGGCTTGTCATAGATGGCCTTTATGATGTTGAGATATGTTACTTGTATCCTGAGAATTTCAAGGGCCTTTATCATAAATGGGTGTTGTGCTTTGTCAAAAGCTTTCTCAGCATCTATTGATACTATCATATGGTTTTTATATTTCTTTTCGTTGATGTTTTGGATTACATTGATTGATTTTTGGATGTTGAGCCATCCTTGTGTCCCTGGAATAAATCCTACTTGGTCGTGGTGAATTGTCTTATGGATACATTGTTGGATTCTGATAGCTAAGATTTTATTGAGAATTTTTGCATCAGTGTTCATTAGAGAGATCGGCTTGTAGTTTTCTTTTTTTGTGTTGTCCTTGTTCAGTTTTGGTATTAGTGTAATGTTGGCTTCATAGAATGTGTTTGGTATTATCCCTATCTTCTCAATTTTTTGAAAGAGTTTATGAAGGATAGGCACTAATTCATTTCCGAATGTTTGGTAGAAATCATTCGTAAATCCATCTGGTCCTGGGCTTTTGTTTTTGGGGAGGGTTTTAATTACCATTTCAATTTCACTGCTTGTAATTGGTCTGTTTAGGTGTTCTATTTCTTCTTTATCTAGCTTTGGGTGATTGTAGAGTTGTAGGAATTTGTCCATCTCTTCTAGATTGTTGCGCTTGTTTGCATACAACTGTTCATAGTAGTTTCTGATTATTCTTTTGATTTCTGCTGTGTCCGTTGTGATTTCTCCTTTTTCATTTGTGATCCTATTTATTTGTGCTTTCTCCCATTTTTCCTTTGTGAACCTGACTAGGGGTTTGTCTATTTTATTTATTTTTTCAAAGAACCAACTTTTGGTTTCATTGATCTTTTAGATTGTTTTTTAGTTTCTATTTCATTTATTTCTGATTTGATTTTTATTATTCCCTTTCTTCTACTGGTTTTAGGGTTTTTTTGTTATTCTTTTTCTAGTTCTTTGAGATGGGTGATTAGGTTGTTTCTTTCAGTTCTTTCTTTTTTTTTTTTTTTTTAAAGATTTATTTATTTATTTATACAAGCACTGGGCACAGTCAGAAGTGCAGGAGGGTGAGAGAATTCACCAGAGCCAGAGCGGGGAGCAGAGCAGGCAGAAGGACCGAAGTACACTGCTGAGGGGAGCAGCGGGCGGCAGGAGAGGTCTGCGCGCCATGTGGGACCCTCTTCTGGTGGCCGGGGAGCAGCCGGGGATCGAACCTGTGCTGCAGAGGCTGTGGGCATCTTTGCAACCCAGCGCGCAACCGCTGCACCACCGGGGAGTCCCTCTTTGAGTTCTTTCTTGTTTGTTGGTGTGAGCCTGTATTAAAATGTATTTTCCTCTTATTACTGCTTTTGCTGCATCCCATACATTTAGGAAATTGGTGTCCTCCTTGTCATTCAACTCAAAGTATTTTTAAATTTCTTCTTTGATCTCCTCATTAGTCCATTGGTCTTCCATTAGTGTGGGTTTCAATGTCCATGAGGTAGGAGGATTCCTTGCCTCTTTTTATGGTTCATTTCTAGCTTGATGCCTTCACAGTCAGAGAAGATGGTTGGTATGATTTCAATCTTGGTGTATCTGTTGATGTTTGTCTTGTGTCCCAGTATGTGATTGATCCTAGAGAATGATCCGTGTGTGCTTGAGAAAAATGTGTACTCAGACTTTTTGGCTTTAGTGTTCTATAGATGTCTGTTAAGCCCATAAGCTCTAGATCCTTATTTAGAGCTTTGGTGTCCTTACTTATTTTTTGTCTCATTGATCTATCTGTTGTTGATAATGGTGTGTTGAAGTCTCCTACTACATGTGTTTTCTCTGATGTCTGTTTCCAGAAATGATAATAGTTGTCTGATATATTTTGATGCTCCTTCATTTGGTGAGTATATGTTAATGAGTGTTATTTCTTCTTGAAGTATTGTCCCCTTGATCATGATGTAGTGACCATCTGGGTCTCTTTTTTACCTTTTTGAGTTTGAAATCTGTTTTATCTAATATAAGTATTGCTGTTCCTTCCTTCTTTTTTGGTCCATTTGCTTGTAGGAGTGTTTTCCATCCTTTTGCTTTCAGTCTATTTTTATCTTTTGTAGTTAAATGTGTTTCCTGGAGACAGCCAAAAGTTGGGTTTTTTTCTTTTCCAGCCTGAGATTCTGTGTCTTTTTATTGAAGGGTTTAGTCCATTTACATTTAGAGCTAATATTGATATGTTAGCCTCTGTATTTGCCATTTTGTTGTCTTTTTTCTGGTTTTATTTATTTGTTTGTTTGTTTTAATTTTTTGTCTTGTTTCGTTCTTATTCATCCCTCTGTTGGTTCTAGCTTTAGGACTCCTTGTAGTATTTTTTAGAGTAGGGGTTTAGTCATAATGAAATTCCGGAGTTTCTGTTTGTCTGGGAAGGTCCTAATTCTTTCTTCATAGAGGAAGGAAAGCTTTGCAGGATAGAGTATTCTTGGTTGGCATTTGTTGTCTTGGAGTTTATTGACTATTTCCCTCCACTCTCTCCTTGCCCATAGTATTTCTTCAGAGAAGTCTGAGGTCAGCCTGATTGGTTTTTCCTTTGTATGTTATCTGTTTCTTCCCTCTTGTCAGCTTCATTATTTCTCCTTGTCTTGGATCTTGGGAGCTTTACTATTATGTGTCATGCTGTATTTTTCCTTTCATCATGGAAGTTTGCTGTTCTTCTTGCTTCTTGTATGTCATTTTCAGCAACTTCTTCATGTTTGGGAAGTTCTCTTCAATTATTTCCTTGGATATTTTCTCTGTTCCTATGTCTCTCCACTCCTTCTGGGATTCCTATAACTCTTATATTTCCTTTCCTCATGGAGTCAGACAATTCCCGAAGTCTTTCTTCATTCTTTTTCCTTCATATTTCTCTTTCCTTTTCTGTTTTGGTTCGTTTTATTTCTGTGTCTTCAAGAGTGTTTATTCATTCTTCCATTTCATCTATTCTGTTTTCAGAATATTTCTATTCTGCTTTTCCCAGAGTTCTTTAGCTCCTCCATAAATCCTTTGATCTCCTGCATTTCCTTCACTTCCCTCTTTAGGGACTCAGTGTCATTCTTCTGATCATTGATTATTTTTCCCATATCATTTTTGACTTCTTTCAGTTTTTTAATCATGGCGATTTTAAATTCTCTATCAGGAAGGCTCAGAAGTTCTTCCAAGTCACTGTTCTTGCATTCTGGTGGGTTATTTTCTTTTTGTGATGTGTCTTTTCCTTGAGGACTTGCTTGCTTGCTTGCAGTTTTTCTTCTCCCTGCTGCTTGTTTTCTAATTTGTCCTATTGGGACACTGTGTCACTGGTATTGACTGGCATCTTTTTGGTGTGCTCTTTTTGGGATGTCAGAAACTGGTGGTCCAATCGAGTCAAAAACTGTTATGCCAAAAGTCCAGTAGGGCAGTGATACTATGAATATGTAGTGTTCGCTGTCACAGAAAATCTCCTTCTGTATTTGTTTAATTCCAGAGGTGGGTCTTGCGGTCCCACAGACTGCCCTGTCCATGGCTGGATCACCTGCTGGGCTCCAAATTGCTGGATCCCCCTCTGGGCTCCAACTGGTGGCCAGACAGGGCCTGGCTTGTGGGGGCTTTTCAGCTCACCTCTGGCTGTGGGGGCAGCCCTTTCCCAGTTCCACGCAGTCTAGGCAGATTCTGGACACAAAGATACCTGGTCTAAAATGGCGATTCAAGAGGGTACTTCCCTGCACCCACGGTATGCCCAGATGGTGGCTAGATCCCCCCTCTCTGTCTTTTCATTTTGATGCAAGTTTCTTTCATTGTGCAGGAGCTTTTTAGTTTGATGTAGTCTCATTTGTTCATTTTTGTTTTTGTTTCCCTTGCCATTGGAGCAACAGGACTTTTAACAAGTTGAAACAGACTATAAGAGGCAGAAAATAAAAAAACATAATTAATAAAGAAGGAACATATCAGATCTGGATGATGAATGGACAATAGATGAATAATGATGAATAGAAGATGGATGGATAGTGGATGAATTTATCTGAAAGCTCAGTTCCCAGTAGATGCTTGGAAATGTTTGAATGGATGGGGAGGAGGAGAAATGTATGAAAGGACTGAGTCAAAGGCAGAGAGTACAATCACCAATTCTCAGTCAGTTGAAGATGGTGACACACTTTCATGGGTTTCCTGGCTCTCTATCTCCATCGAAGCCAGGGCTAATACCAACTAAATCTGACCATTATATGAGAGAAGATCCCTTGCTAGTGGCACTACTGAGCTCTTTCTTCCATAAACACAACGTAGTCACCTAGGAGCTGGGGCTGGCTAACTTGTGCCATGAATATGCATGGAGGGAGGGGGCAGTGATGGACTGGAGGGGAGCAGAAATGAACGGATGACAGCAGCAAACCTCAGATCTTATTTTCAACTTTAATCTTCGATCCTTTTGTCAGGGTTTCCCTGGACCCCGCGGGGAGAAAGGTGACCGGAGTGAACGTGGAGAAAAGGTGGGGGCAGGTGGAGAGAAAACAGAGGCAGATGGAGGCTGGGAGGGGGCACAGGGCAGGCTGCAGACCCAGGCTCATCTCTCTGGTAAGTGTTGGAGGCCAGCCATAGCCATGACCCCATCTCCTCTTTGTACAGGGGGAGCGAGGTGTCCCAGGACGGAAAGGAGTGAAGGGCCAGAAGGGTGAACCGGGACCACCAGGCCTGGACCAGCCATGTCCTGTGGTACGTGTCAGAGCAGTTTAGGCACCTCAACCCATTCTTTGCTGCCCTAGGCTGGGTCCAACATCTTCCCAGTTCTCAGAGCTCAGCTGCACATCCCAGAAGTCAAACTGGCTCTGCCTGGGGTGCCCATGCTGACAGGCCGCCATTGCTAGCACTGCTGTCAAGCTCCTCTCACTCTGTTCCCAGGCACAGGGGATCCAACCCCTCTACAGAGATGAAAGCCTGGCCAGAGGCAGAGTCCCCTCAGCGTCCAGGGCCATAGGGGGAGTGGAAACTACCTTGCCTCTGAGTCTTTCCTCTCCACCCCTGAAAAAGGTTTTTTTGGTCTGGGGTGGTTCTACCTCTCCCCCTGAATCTCCATATGCCCTAGAGCCCCTTCTTTTCCTTTGCACACCCCCAATCTTTTTCCTTTCCATTTTCTCCCACAGCCCCCAGCCTGGTTTCTGAAATAACCAATTCAGTTTCCTCTTTCCAGAAGGGAGGAGGGTTTACATGTTGGACTCTTCCAGAGGAACTCAGAAAAGACCAGAAAAACACAACTGAGTTTCCATATGACCACATGTTCAGACCCAGCTCTGCTGCAGCCCCCAGAGCATGGAGAGGGGCCTCCAGCTATGATGTGTACAGGTCGCCTTCCAAAGGGGTACCAGAGCCAGGGACCCAGACCTCTGACATCCTTTGTCCCTTAGTCTCATCCATATAGTGGGACACCAATTCCTTCCTCTGTTGGTTTTGAGGAATCTATTAAGTAAAGACATGAACAGAGCAAAAGTACACACACAGAAATGCCAGGGACAGCAGGGGACAGGTGGCCCCATACCTCATGCCCTGGGCCAGGACTTCCCTCTAAGTCATAAGTGTGTGTCTTTGAAACAGGAGAATCCTAAATGCAGAAGCAAACAAGGGGCCCTGGGGTCCAGGGTCCTAACGAGGGGCAGTGGGCCCTGGCCTGTGCTATACGGTCTGGTCTGCTGTATGCTGTGCTGTGTTCTGCTGAGCCAGCCCTCTGGGTCGCCTGTGCCTGCGGCTCTGCCCTGCATTTCCTCGCCACCTGCCTTTGCATTCTCCCTTCCTCCCCACTTCCTTTCAGGCCCCAGCCTGTACTCCCACATGTCCTAGGCCTGTGCATGTGTCTCAGAATAGAGTGTGCGTTCACCATAAGAGTCCCAGGGACTCTAGGCTGAAGGTCAGCCTTTGTCCCTTTCTAGTTCCCCCAGTACAAGAAACCCATCCACTGCTCATGTAGGATGGCTGAGTTGCCCAGCTGGTGCCCCTAGACAAGGGTGTGGTGGCCACACCCTTGTCTAGTTTGTGCCCTGATGGCCTTCACCTGCCTCACTCTGTCTGCTACCCAGACAGACCTGAGAGGGATGCCATTTATTCACTCATGGAGAAAGCTCTCAGACCCCCAGTGAGAGGGACCAGGGCCACTGTCAAGACCACCAGGCAGGAAGCTATGCAGCCCCTCTCCCTCAGCAGGGCCAGCCCATGCCTTCTCCTGGCCTCAAATGTCCAGCCCACTGCCTGGTAGCCCACAGTGTCCTCCTGGTCTGCACAGTCCTTTGAAAGCACACTTGGGACAAGCAGTCAGGGGTCTTGTATCCTGAGACTGGCTACCCAGGGGTCAGGCATTCGAGCCTTGCCTTGGTGGCATCCGGCAGCCTCAGGTGGAAGCTCCTAGACTGCACCTCCCTGTAAAATGGCAGGGGTGTGTGGAATATAGAGAACCCCATCACTGAAGCCTCCTTCCTTTCTAGGGCCCCGACGGGCTGCCCGTGCCTGGCTGCTGGCATAAGGTACCTTGCAAAAAAGGGTCTCCCCCCAGACTGGGCGAAGGTAGGGGGAACAATGAGGGGTCCCAAGGTTGGGTGTCAGTGGCCTCCCATACAATCAGAGTGAATAATGGTTTCCCTTCACCACCCTAGTTTCAACTCTCCCATCGTGTGATCTGTGGTCCCGGGTGATTGTGTTCAACCCATCCTGTTGGTCATCCAGGCCCCACTAGTGCAAAACATCAGCACCCCTGGGACTTTGTCCAACTGCCCCACCATGAGGGTGTAGGGGCCAAGATCCAAGTGGTTTGGGGGCGCACCTGCTCCACAGATATATCAAGACAGGTGCCCAGGCCAGGGTGGATGCCTCATGACCCCTCCTCACCTTCAGTCTTTCCCTCCGCTTCCAGTGATCCCCAGGACCCAGGTCACAACCTGTACAGATCCATGTGGACTTTTTTAATGTTTGTAAAAAAAAAAAAAAACAGTAATATATTGATTTTTTTATGGGATGTCCCACCTGTGGCCTTTTAACATCTAAGAAGATGCCCACCCCGGCACGGGAATGACCAGCGTGTAAGGCTGCAGGAAAGTGGCTAGGCCAGTCGCCAGGAATGGTGTACCCATGGCTTTCTTGGAAGGAAACGAAGGCGAAAGTGCCTGGCTCAGGTGAGCCTGCAAAGACACCAGGTTGGGCCTTCGGTCCTGATCAGCAGAGAGACTCCAGCTGCCCCCTGTCCCCTGAAGCTCTGGAGCCCCCGGGCCTGACCCCATTCAAAAAGGTCAGAACTTGGACTAACACTGAAGATGCTCCCAGCCTCTCTGGCCTCAGTCAGAGCCAGCTTGCCCACTCTTTGGGGTCCCCCTAGGCCCTGGGCTCACCAGGGCAGGACAAGACTCTGGCCCAGCACTTGAAGTTGGATGCTAGAAGCTGTGGCAAGCAGCCTGGACAGATCTAGCTGCCGTCCAGTTCAGTAGACCTCAGGAAGCCAGCCTACGTCCTCTGATCCCAAGTAGAGACCAAGCACTGTGATCGCCATCATGTGGACCCAGCTGGTGGACCCAAATGGAGGGACCCCCATGATGCCCAAGTGCAGAGGACAATGGGGCACAGGCTGCAGTGGCTGCTACTTCCTATTTGTCTCCACGCCACCCAAAACAGGGACTTAGCTGGCCTGAGGAGACGGGCCTCCGGCTCAGAGCTCGGATTTCACTGGCCCCAAGTCTCCCACGCAGGAGAACTCTGGTCAGCCAGCCAAAATGGTCCTCCTGGACCATTTTGGATACAGGAAAAGAGCCTCAGGGCTGGTTCCCAGCCACCTGACCAGGGGGCCGTTGGGAGAAGAAGCTTCCCTCCTTCAGCCACCACTCTGGCCCAGCTACTTGCTTCTCCTCTCTGTATAGATGGATATCGCTGTGTTAATAAACTGCCAAGGTGTGTCTGGGTGTGTCTGTCCTTGCAGACTGCCCCTCACTGGGGTACCCCTGGGAAAGGTTTGACAAATAACAAAAAAAACCAACCCCATTCCTTTAAAGATCAAACTTCCTTTGTTAAATGATCCTTGAATTGGGTAGTATCCCGCCTGCTTTTATAAGCAGGAAGAAGCAAGATTAGGGATGAAGGAATTATTTCAGGCTTAGGCAGCCTGCATTTGGGGAATGCAAACAGGTCCCTAGCATGATCTCATCTTCCTTGGGGAATTGGAAAAGATGATCTCATTGGTGCCAGTCAGAAAATTCCATGCTCACCAGGTAGGAATCCAACCCTGGGGAGGCTGAAACCACAGAGGGTTTAAAATCACAGTTAAGCTAGGTCTTAAGTCTTTGTGGGCTTAACAAGTGCCTCCATCCTGGACCTCTTTTTTAACAGGTTTCAGTGTGTCCTTTGATGGGTGGTCAGAGATAAAGGGACTTTCCCTGGGCCCAGGCGGCCCTGGAAACCAGAGGAAGCAGTTCAGGTCAGGGAAAGATGGCGTTTAGAAGGAGGAAGACACGGACTAGAGGCCAGGACCTGCCGTTACTATCTGAGCCCTCTGACCAGTTGCATGCCTCACTGGGCCTTTGAGGAGTCCACTGACCAGTGACTGCTCTATAACAAATCACCTCTAAATGTGTTGCCCTGAAGCAATGGGCCCCTCTATTTCTGGCTTGCAGGGGGTTAAAGGGTTAATGGGCTCAGCAGGTGGTGGTTGCTCAAGTTCTCCCACACCTAGTGGGCAATGCTGACTCTCAGCTGAGAGGGCAGGAGTCCAGAACACCGGGCCTCCCTTTAATCTGGGCTTCCTCGAAACATGGCACTGGATTCCAAGGGTAAATGTCCTGGGTGGACCCGGTGAAAGTGAGGTCAGCTTGTATGGCCAAGCCTTAAAAGTCACATGGTTTCATTTCCTGCCAGAATTAGAAGTTTATCCCAATTCAAGGGAAAAGTGTCAGTCTCCTATTTTTCTTTAAAGGATTGATTTATTTATGCACACAAGAGCTGGGGTACAGGACAGAGGTGTGGAGGGTGAGAGGATTCACCAGAGACAGAGTAGGGAACCAAACAGGCAGATTGACTGAAATACACTGCTGAGGGGAGCAGCGGATGAGACAGGAGAGGTCTGCTGCGCTATGTGGGCCTCCTCCCTGGCTGGGCATCGAACTCGTGCTGCAGTGGCTGCTCATAGCTTCATAGGTTGTGTCTTAACCCCTTGTGCCACCAGTCCCTATTTTAAGAAGTAAATGTTGAGTTACAGATCTTTTTGCTATGCTCTTAGAAAATTCAACTTGCCACCTCATTTGACAGTGATGCTCACACCAGATTGTGGTCAAGTGAGAACAATTATGTGGAATACTTGAAGAACCTAGAACAGGTCAGGTGCCTGGAAGCACCCATGACTCAGTTCCCTCTCTCCTCCTGACACAAGACCAAACAAGTCTGACATAGTCGAACAGCATGTCTGTGCCTCTCATCCCAGCTGGTCCTACAACAACCCTGAGAGGGACCCAGGGAATGTGTCCCTGGTTCACAGATGACAACACCAGACACATGCAGGGTGGTATAGACGAGACAGTGTCTCCAGACTTATCCTTCCCCAAGCACTGAGGCCTACGGAGGGTCACAGAATGGGTAGTCCCCCCACCACGACATGCACATTGCTACATGACTCCCTTGATAAGCAGGAGAGGCCCAGCCACGATGGCAAAGAAGGAGGAACTCGTCAAGTCCCCACCTCTGTCTCCCTAAGTCGCCGCTGGTAATGGCAAACCACGCAGCTTACCAGTCATCCAGGTCCTTGGGGCTGTGATGACTGATGGAGGCCACTGGGCTTCCAAGAGTCTTTGGAGCACTAGCACCACATCTCACAAATCAACTGCACCCCACAGCTTGTCATCCACTCCTTCCTCCACCCAGGTACCTCCCGGGTACCTCATCAGCCTTTTGAAGGGCAGAAGCTGTGTGGTAGGTGTCACCAAGTCCGTGACATGTGGTAAGACTGAGGCTCCACAGGGAGAGTCGCCTACCCTGGGATGCAAAGCCAGGAGGTGGTGGCAGACTTGTGCCTGGCCTTCAGATGTCCTCCAATTCGTCTTTCTGAAATTGCCTGGAAGGCATGGAGTTTGCTAGGCAGCGCCAAAGATGGGGTATAATTAATGGGCAGATCTCCCTGGGGTGAAGTCATGTGTTCCCCTTCCCCCAGGAGGAGGCCATTCATGGCTAAACGCTGCCCTCTTGTGGCATCATACCACATATCCTCAGGTTGGCAAACAACCTAGAACCTACTGAGCCCTCCAAGAATTTGGAGTAGAAGCAAGAGATCACAGAAGAGTAAATGACTTGATCAAGGTCTGGAGCACCCTGCCTTCCAGCTGAGCCCTGAGAACGGTAGGGTCTCATCTGTTGCTAAGAAAGGTAGCTCTGCCTCACACTCCCATTTGAAAGAAAAGCTTGTTTATTGAACCCCACTCTGTTCCATGGTGGCTAAACTGATCACAAGCATTTCACTTTTGCAGATGAATGTGAGGCTTAGGAGCATTGGGCTCACCTAGGTCTCCTTCTTCCTGATCTGTGGGTATTGCTAGAGATGAAAGGGATGCTTATAGTTGTCTCAATAATTCAGGGACATTCCTAGCATTCAGCAGGCAGAGCTAAAGATATCAAACATTGGAAACATATGAGACAGTCCTGCCCAATGATAACTCATCTCACCAAGAACACCAGTGCTGCCTGCTTTGAGAAACACCATGCCCTGGATTCAAATCTTGACTAGTCACATCTCCCCCTTCCCCTGTTTTTGGCCTCCAATGGCACCCCCAAATGCAGGACATGAGATAACAGACAGAGGAATGCTTAGCAAGGGGTCAGGGCCAGGAAGGAGTGAGCTTTTATGAACAGGAAAATAGGAGAGGATTACCGCTGGTGTCCTGCCCCCTGTTGTAGATACTCTTGGCCAACTGGTCTGACATCCGATTGCATGGCCTCCAGACCCTGCACATCCCCCGAGCTTATGAGATATGGGCCAGGCCAGGCTGTAGTCTCCTCACTCCCTTCTCTGAGATTGGAAAAACCTCTGATTCAACTTGACTTATCTGAGCTTTCCTGGACCTATAATAAGACAGACCTGTGTTTGGGCTGCAAGATAGGGCCAATGATAGGAACCAAATGAGACATCCCTCATGCACACATTCCACTAAAAGCTGAAACCACAGGACATAGAGGCACCCATGGGTTTCTCCACCAAAGAGGAACAGATCCATTGAAATACCCACTGACCCCTCAGTCCCACTTATCTGTCACCTACAGGGGTGGGGGAGGAGCCCCAGAAAAGTATAGGCCACAAGCAACCTCTCTTGGTTAATTTGGGAGAAATTTTTTTCAAGAATCACACATAGGGTTCAATTCAACTCTGCAATGAAAAGAGAAATTCCATTCAGTTTGGGAATTTGAAAAAGTTTGGGAGGTAATAGTTGCAAAGTCCCTGAATTGTACACTTAAAATACTTAAGATGAAAAGTTCCATGTTATGTTTGTTACCACGATTTTCTTAAATGTCAACTGCTCTTTAATAAATATCTTGAGCATTTTACAGTTTTATGGGGTGAAAATGATATCAGCAAAAAGGAAGCAAAGTCTAAGTTGGGAGTGTGAAGAGGTAGACAGGAGAGCCAAACAGGGGCCTCCCCTTTCCCTGTTCACCCAGGACACCCCTTACCCTCAGATTGCAGCCCCAGGTTCTAGTTCTAGGGTTCATGGAGGCAGAAAGTCCCAGTGCCCGACACCAGGAAGGCAAATCGCTCTGCTATCCCAGCTTCCCAGGCCCTTGGGGGCATTTCCCTCTCACTCCCTGTACTGGGTGTCAGGCAGACCAGAGCTGGACTTCAGCCTCTGTTGCATATTTGCTGTGTTTCTGAGAGCAACGACCTTTCTCTTTCTGGGCTCCAGGTTCATGAGACCTCCTTTTTTTTTTTAATAATTTATTTATATTTTACATCATTGTTCTTTTTTTTTTTTTACAATGTTTGCTTTCTTTTCTCAGATGTAGTCCCCATAGAATTCCCACCACAAATTCACCCGTGCACCATCACCATAGTCCCTTGTGCTCTTCCCGCCCTCGTTTTGATCCCTCTCCCTCTTCCTCCCCTGCAGAATGCCTCTGATTTTAGTTGTCTGTTTATTTTTGTTTTGTTGTGTTGTTTTTTATTGTTATTTTTATTGTTTTTTTTTCCTGATCCCTTATTTGTTTCCCCTATAGTCCTCCTATAAGTGAAACCATCTCTTTGTATTTTAACACGGCATGGTGCAGATAGATCTGTTTTTCCCTGCCTGGATTCTAGCAGGAACGGTGCTTCCCTGAAGGCAGTGCCCGAGACCTCCTTGGTCAGCCCTTGCAGAAGCCCTGTGCCCGCCCTCTACTCTTCCTGCTGATCCTTCCTGCTGCTCAAATACCAGATCCTGCTCCAGTGCTTCACCTATCCTGAGCCTCCAGCTGTGGACCATACTGGGTGCCCCTAACACATTCCCAGTCATCACACGCGCCAGGTATTACAGTGCATGCCATTTTATGCACAATGAAAGCGACTCAGAGATTGAGCCCGAGGCTCCCCGGAGCGAGAACCGTTAGAGCTCAAAGCCCTGCTTGGGAGCTGGAAACATTGGCAGGGTCACCCGAGGACACTTCCCAGAGAAGGATCCGCGGGAAAAGGAGCGCGAGGCATGAGGTGCGTCTGGGGAGCAGGGCTACGGCAGCATTCGGCGAGGCGAGCACAAACCCGACTCCCGGGCAGAGATTCCCAAAGACCTAAGCGGTGGTGGGGAAGGCGTCAGCCTGGTCCGCGGAATGAATGAGATCCCAAAAGTGAAATAAACCACTGGGACACCGGACCAGCGGAGCGATCTGCGGGGGGCAGAGCCAAGGCGCACTGGGGCGGGGCCTGGGCGGGGCGGGGCCTGGGCGGGGCGGGGCCTGGGCGGGGCGGGGCCTGGGCGGGGCCTGGACGGGGCGGGGCCTGGACGGGGCGGGGCCTGGACGGGGCGGGGCCTGGGAGGCCGAGCCAGCGCGGGAGACCTCTCGGCGCTGAGTTCCCCCGCGCGACTGCCAGACACCATGGCCGCGGATCGGCGCTCCAAGGCCGAGACTCTGGCCCTGAGGCAGCGGCTGCTCAGGTACCGAGACGGTGGCGAGGCGGCGCGCCCACGCACGGCCAACGCGGAGCCAGCAGACTCCAGCCCCGCCCGACCTCCCCGGCCCCAGGTCCTCCGCCGCCCCCGCGCCGACCCGGCAGAGCCCTGGTCAGCCCGGCCGCTTCCCCCACCGCGTCCTCGCTGGGCCGCCAGCCTGCTCGCAAGCAGCTGCTCTCGAGCTCTTGGCAGCCTTTGCCCCCGCAGTCCGGAGCACCTCGCCCAGTGGCGACCCGCCAGCAAGGCCTGGACTTGGCCCGAGAATGACCCTGGAAGGAACCGAAAGTTCATTTCAGGGTGGGGTTGGGGGTCGTTTCACAGGCAACCTTAGAGAAAGCCCGCCCTTGACCTGTGAGGAGGGGTCTCCGTACAAGGGGCACGTGAGGCCGCAGCTGGCTGGACCGTGGGTCTCACGTAGCAGCAGGTCCACCTGGCTGGCAAGGGCCATTTAGGGCTAAAAGTCCCCAGCTAATAGGGGTGCCCTCCCTCACACCCATCCCAGCAAAGAGACACTGCCTTAGGGAGCCCCCCCTAAGCCAGTGGGTCTGGCTTGGTCACCTTGCCCCTACTCGCCCCCCCTCACCCCCCACCCAAGGGACCAATGTGTCCACATATGGAAATTAGGCTAAAATTACTTACGTTTTAGCGGTTTTCTTGCCCTATCCTTTTCCTCCTCTCCAGTCGCCTGTGGAATGGGAGGGTGAGGCAGGGAAGCACTATCTTGCCCTTCAAGCTTTTGTCCTTTCCAGAAAGGGTGGGGAAGGCCTTCTCCCTTAAGTCTTCAGTTGTGGCTGTCTACTCCTTGCCTGTCCCCACAGCTCCTCCTGCAGACTCTTTTTTCCTGAGGATCCTATTAAGATTGTCCGGGGCCAAGGGCAGTACATGTATGATGAACAGGGGAAAGAATACATCGATTGCATCAACAATGTGGCTCACGGTCAGTATCATGTCCCAGTCTGGTGGGGCAGGAGAAGAGCCCCAAGTCTGGGAACCTGGTCCAAGGGTGATCCTTAGGTTGCAGAGCTGTGGAGACAACTTGGGTGGGGCTGAACCAGCATCTGTGTGCAGAAGAGGCCCAGTCTTTTGGGTGTAGCGTTAGATGTTTCTAAGTGGTAACTATGCTAAATTGGGCAGAAGTCAAAAAATTGGGCAAGACTTGGAAATCTGGGGTCCAGTTCCCAGCCATGACCAGCAACAGAGCAGGACCATAGGCAAAAGCCAAGGGTCAAGCCCCAGTGCCGTCTCACATGCCAGACGAAGGAACTAAAGCAGGAATTCAGTTATCCAGATGGGGCCCACCAGAGCTGAAAAAAAGGGATTTCATGACTCAGCAGGCAATTTGGAGGTTAAAAGCAGGAACTCTAATCCTGGCTAGGTTCATATCCTTGCCCCTCCTCACCCCACTTTAGGGACTTTGTGATCTTGGGCAAGTTACTTAATTCTCTGTGCATCTGCAAAACAGATATAATACTAGGTATGCACCTCAAAGTATTTTGGAGGATTAAGTGAGTAGTGAGTTAATTTGTGTATCTTGCTTTGAATGTGCTTGGCATATAGTGTCTTAATAAATGTTCGCTGTTGTCATCATACCGACCCATTGATCGGCCAGTGTGAGCAACATTACCACAGGCATCCCTGATTAGTGAATTAAACCCATCAACAAGTGCTCTGTACCCCAAATCCCATGCCATCCCCTCTCCCCCCGACCCTGTTTCTCTCAAGGGAAAGGCCTTATGAAACTTCCTTTAAAAAAAAATGGGTTTTCTACCTAGGATTTCTACCAGAGAGCTTTTGCCTTCTGCCAAAATCTCTTTTCTAGATCTCCCTTTCTAGAACCAGCATCTCTTTTCCCTACCCCCATCTTCAGATTCCCTTTCCTCTCCACCTCTCCCTCCAGGTTCACAGATGGGGCCAGGGGGAGGCAGGGTGGGACTGGCTGAGCAGAGCTAATGTGTGATGGAGGGGGGCCTCTTCCAGTTGGGCACTGCCACCCTCTCGTGGTCCAAGCAGCACATGATCAGAACCAAGAGCTCAACACCAACTGCCGATTCCTACACGACAACATCGTGGATTACGCACAGAGGCTGTCCAAGACCCTGCCAGAGAAGCTCTGTGTGTTTTATTTCCTCAATTCTGGGTAAGTGGACTGCGGCCAGCCCCATCACAAGAACTGAGACGAAGATGTGGGTGTAGTATAATGTAGCCAAATGAGTGTTTACTCTAGAGAGGCAGCCCTCGCTGGGCTAGGTGACTGTGCAAACTTGCTGTAGACCCTAGTGCTTACTCTGTTGGATCTAGTTCCCTGGCCTTTTAGTAAGGAATGCCATTAACTCCCTCCCTGAGACAGCCTGTTGCTTTATTTCTGCTTTATGTACACAAAAGCACCTGGCTGGGGGCTACAGCCAAAATCCCTACCCTCAGCTGGTTGAGTAAGGACAGAAACATGAAGTCATTTTTCGAAGAAATACAAGATTACTAAAAGGGGCCTTTGTCTGGGGGGGATGTATAGGGTGTAATGAAGCACAGAAGCAGTAGCACGGACTGGCATGCTCTGTGAGGGTGAGGGAGGGCTTCCTTAAAAACATGGCATTAGACCATGAGCTCTCTAGGAGATAACTAAATGAGGAGTAAAGAAGGATGCTGCCCTGTCCGTCGGAATTGTTCTTGTCAAGGTTGGTCACCACACAAAACAGCCTGTGCAAAGGTCCTGCAGCATGGCACCCCAGCACATGTGAGGAACCAAAAGAAGCCAGCAAAGCTGGAGAGACGGTGCAAACCCACACTGGAGAGGGAGACAGTGTCCATCACACAGAATCTTATCTGCCAAGTGAGGAATCTGTTTTTATCATCGGAAGATTTTAATCAAGCAAGTGAGTCAGCAGGGCAGGCATGCACACCCTAGGGGCCAGTTCAGCCAGGTGACAGGTGGTGGTAGCTCATATTAGGAATAGCAGTGGAGACAGAAATGGCAAGGATGCTAGTTCACAGAACCCGGAGAGAACACTTCAACAAATCATAGGTTGTGGCATTGGGATTGTAGAGGTCAAACAACAGAAATGTATTTCCTCATCGTTCTGGAGGCTGGACAGCCAAGGTGCCCACAGGTTTGGTTTCTTTGAGGACTCTCTCCTTGGTTTACAGGTGGCCAACTTCTTACTGTGTCTCCACACAGCCTTTCCTCTGTGCATACACACCCCCGGTGTCCCTCTCTGTGTCCCAAACTCCCCTTGTTATCAGGACATCAATATGATTGGATTGGGGCCCATTTTAACTCATATCTTTGAAGGCTCTGTCTTCACAGTCCCATTCTGAGGTACTGGAGGGTTGGAGCTTCAACATTTGAATTTTGGGGGCACAATTCAGCCCATGACACCCCATTACCCATAGTAGAACTCGTCTGGTCCTCTTTTGGCACCCCGTTTCCATTATCCCAGTGATGTCTTTGCTTTGTTTTTTGGCTTTCATGGCACACACTAGAAGGTCAGGACTTGCCTGTTTTACTCACTATGCTTTCCCCAGCCCTTAGCGCAGAGGAGGCATTTGATAAATACTTACTACATGGATTTGAATGACTAACGTATAGTCTCCAGAGAACGTTCTTGCTGCTAGGAGGGCCCCTCCTTCCTTTTGGGTTTCTCTGTGGGAAGCAGGTAGCCAGGAGAGGAGTCCCTTGGGTGGCCATCCCTGCAGTGCTCACCTTCTCTGTTGTAGATCAGAAGCCAATGACCTGGCCCTGAGGCTGGCCCGCCGGTACACAGGACACTGGGATGTGGTGGTATTAGACCAGTAAGTGAGTGCCCCTCACCAACTTAGCTCCTCCAGAAGCTTGGGCCCACCATGTGTTGGAGATCTGTGAGGCTCTGACCTTGGATGCACTAGACAGGAGGGTGGAGGGGCCTGGACTGCTGAGGGAAGCATGAGGCAGTGGACTGGCCACTGAGGCACCCCACATATACCAAGGGTCCCTTTCCCCTGGTCCTGCCTTCTGGGAGAGCAGCATATAGGGAACAGAAATGCTTTGTAAGGATTGAGAGTTGGCCCCACAACATTTTTTGATATTAAAACTCTCCCCACTATAGCTCCCACATATTGAGCATCTGCTCTGCACAAGACCCAGGCCCAGGGGCTAGAGCATATGCCAAGTACGATTCAGAAAGCTTGGGTCAAAGGGGTTGACTGTATAGTGATCATGGCAGCTAGACTCTGGTGACAAGCATAAAGTACACAGATGTTGACGTGAGTCTGTAGAGCTATATAACATTATAATAAGCTAGTGTTACTTCAATTTAAAAAATCCATTACAACCCTGAAGGAGAGAAGAGAGAACTAACCCAGAGAGGGTGAATGACTAGCCACCATGTGAGTCCCCAGCCCTAGATTTGGGAGCTCCCAGATTTGAGTACCTCAGACTTGGGAGCTGTGTCAGAAAAGCTGATCTTCCCAGTGTGCCTCCTGAGGTGAGGAGGCTGTCATCTGGGCCAGGCAGGGAATATGCAGCCCTGGCCTGAACCCAGCCCCTTTCTCCTCCCCAGTGCTTATCACGGTCACCTGAGCTCCCTGATCGACATCAGTCCCTACAAGTTCCGGGACCTGGATGGCCAAAAGGAGTGGGTCCATGTGGTATGCACTGCCCAAGTGAGCAACAGGTCGGTGCCCGCCCCCCAGCCTTTGTGACAAATGCTGTCTCTCCCTTCAGGCACCCCTCCCAGACACCTACCGGGGTCCCTACCAGGAGGACCACCCCAATCCAGCTATGGCCTATGCCAACGAGGTGAAACGCATGGTCAGCAGTGTGCAGGAGAAGGGCAGGAAGGTAACTGCATCCACACGTGTCCAGTCCAGCGAACAGTAACTGTCACTTCCTCTGTTGCCACCCAGTGCTAATGCTAGGCAGCCCCCTCCTCCTTGGGAAGCCAGTAAGGGGCTATGTCCTGAGCACGGCAGGGATCCCAGGCCCAGACTGTGAGGGTGTGGCTGTGAAGGAGGGGCTGTGGAGGAGGTGCTGCCTGATTTCAGTCATAGGAGAGTAGGAGTTAGCCACCACAGGTGGGGTGGGGTGGGGAGTGCAAAAGGAAGGACATACCACATGGGTGCGGCCCGCATTGAGGTGAGGAGCCGCTGTGTGTGGGTCAGGCCGAGCTTGCAGGGGATGAACCTCCCAGCAGGCAGGACCTGTGTGCTGAGAACAGCTGGTGCTGTGCTGACGTCCCTCCGATCATGGGAGCCTCTCAAGGGTTTTCAGAGGGAGGGTAGAAAGACCAGGGGGTGCACTCAAATGAGGGCAGGTGATGTGAGGTTGGACCCAGAGCATGCAGGGGAGATGGGGAACAGCAGACAGGTGCCGTGTGAACCCTGGGAGAGCAGCGGCCATGGTGACAATAGAGGGAAGGCAATAAGCTTTTGGTGTGAGGCCCCCAGAAGGCCTTCCTGAGGGACTGGTGGCCAGGATATCGTAGACAGGCAGGCTTCCAAGGCTGATGAGGTCGGCCAAGTCAGACAAGGGCAGCTTGGCCTATGTTTTTCAGCAGCACTTACCAACCTTCCTTACATAAGACTGCTCTGGTGGCAGCAGGGGTGGGGGACCGTTTCCTACCCTATCACCCTCCCCTTGTGGCAGTAGTGGCCTCTGAAGTAGCCCCAAGGCAGAACTCAGCTTGGAAGTCACAGCCGTAAATGAAAAGCATCCTTGAAGAGTTTTAGCGGGACAGTGACCAGCCGTTTGGATGCAGGCGTCACCCTGGCAGGCAGTGGAGCGTGGACTGAAAGGCTAGATGGCCTCTGCAGGTGGCCGAGGCTGAAGGTGGATGCAGCAGTGTTGGGTGGAGGGAAGGGGGTACAGAGATGTTACAGAGTGGGGTCCAATGCTGTGCTGATAGAAGCAGGAGCCAGATTTCTGTCCTAGGAAGAAGGCACAGGAGTGGTGCAGGTCACCAGATGGAGGGACAGGGAAGGAACAGACTTGGGGGGGGGAAAAAAAACACTGGGCCCATCTGAGGCCTGCTAAGTACAAGGGGTCTGGAGGGATCCAGGTGGTGAGATCTGGTTTGAGGCCTGAAAGAAAACTGAGTCACAGACTTCAGATGCTATGTGAGCCAGAGAGAGGCCAAAGCGATGGCAGTGACTCATCCTGTTTGGCACCAGTTCTGAGGCAGCACTGGCAGAACACTTGCCACTCAGCACCCCCACCATGGTGTTCCCGACATCCCATCTGTCCCATCTCATCCACAGATTGCCGCCTTCTTCGCTGAGTCTCTGCCCAGTGTGGGCGGGCAGATCATTCCCCCTGCAGGCTACTTCCCAGAAGTGGCAAAGTGAGTAGGTGGGAGAGGATGCCCCAGGGAAAGCAGGACTGGAGGGGCTTCCCAACCTATGTTCCAAATTCCAACCTCAGCCTAACCTGTTTGCCCCTGAAGAAATAGTGGGCCCACCTTCCTTCGGCAGAGTGAGGATTCAGTCCAGACTCCGGGGCTAATCCCTCACTGCCATTCTCCGTCAGCTGTCTGTCCTCTGCACAGGCACATCCGCAGGGCCGGAGGGCTCTTTGTTGCGGACGAGATTCAAGTGGGCTTTGGCAGAGTGGGCAAGCACTTCTGGGCCTTCCAGCTGCAGGGGAACGACTTTGTCCCAGACATTGTCACCATGGGCAAGTCCATTGGCAATGGTCACCCTGTTGCCTGCGTGGCCACAACCCAAGCTGTGGCAAAAGCATTTGAAGCCACTGGCGTCGAGTACTTCAACACGGTGAGTGAAGCCTCCGAAGCTGGGAGCACTGAGCCCCCACAGACTCCTAAGGTGCTGTCCAGGGTGGGGTGCAGCAGGTCAGAGGGAAAAAAAAACAAAGCCTCTTCCGAAAGTAGCACTAATCCAAAAGCTGCCACAAGAAATCATGTCTTATGAAATATGTAGAAAGAACACAAACTTCCCCTTCTCCCTCCCAGCAGAAGCTGCCCACTGTGCTGGGTGCTGACTCCAAAGAGCCAGAGGAGGCATGGCTCCCTGTCCTGGGCATAGAGCTGAGGGCTTCCCTAAGTGAGGGTCCCTGTGTTGGCATGTTGAATGGGTGGGTGAGGGGAGCAATGTGGTCACCGGGGGCGTCTCTGTAAAGAGCTGAGGGTCTGGACTGCTCCTGAGTGCAGTGAGGAACCATGGAAGGGCTTTAATCTGGAGTGACAAGACCTGAAACACATTTGGGAAGGACCTCCAGCAATTAGTATGGAGAAAGAACTGGAAGACAGACTGTTCCACGCAGGAGAGGGGGAGGTCTAAATCTGGGTGTGGGGAAGAAAAGGAAGGAACAGAGTTTTGTGGGGCAGAACTCACTGGGACTTCCCAAAAAAGAGCCAGCTTGAACTGGGGACTGGAACATGTCAGGATTTGCAAGGTGGCCAAGATTTGGCCGAGAAGGTCATAAGGGGTGAAGGCTGTGCCTCAGCGACCTGTCACGCTAGGCTCAGGTGACAGAGCCTCTGTCCTGGACAGGTTCACTTTCAGGGAAGGCAGCCTTATAGACATGGCCACAGTAGCATGGAAAAGGGCTGAGCCAGTTTAGCGTGTTCACAGCTGAAGACGGGATACCAGGCAGGAGGTAGAGGAGGGGTGCAGGACACGCTGTGGAGGCTAAGTCCTGGGAGCTAGTTCTAGAGGATAAGGAGGAATTATTCCTGTGAGGAGCATGGAGTGTGTTGTATTAGGTGAAAGACAAACAGCCTGATGAAGCAGGATGCTAATTCTTGTTGCTTTATCACTCTTGAAGTGCGCATAGTTAGATTGTTCCATCCTTGGTTCAGAACGACTCCTTCTGTGTCCCTGCAAAGCCCTCATCGATTTCACCAATATTTTAAGCATCTAAGAAACCATCATCCCAAATGAAAGTTAGGACCTTGACAATAACCTATCCATTTGGCTGTCCTCCCACCCCAGGTAACCATCACTCTGACTCCCATGTTCATTAATTATTCTAGTTGTATGTTACTCCCCCAGAGCTGACTTCTTTATAACTGCAAGTTTGTGCCTTTTGACCACCTTCACTCATTTTGGCCCCACCTCTATCCTATCACATCCAGTCTCTAGCAATCACCAGTGGGTTCTCCATATTTATAGAGTCCAGGTTTTTGTTTGTTTTAGATTCTACACATAAGTGAGATCATATGATATTTGTCTTTCTCTGACAAGATATTTAGGCATGTTGTCACAAATGACGACATTCCTTTCTTTTTATGACTGAATAATATTCCATTGTGTGCACATGTGTACATGTATACACTTTTCCTTTATTCCTTCACCCAACAGTGCACACTTAAGTTGTTCCCGGGTCTTGGCTGCTATAAATAATGCTGCAGTGGACATGGGAGTGCATATACATCTTTTTGAGTTAGTGTTTTCATTTCATTTGGAAAATACTCAAAGTAAAATTGCTGGATCATATGGTTGGTTTGTTTATTTTTTTTAATTTTGACAAACTCCATGCTGTTTTCCATAGGGGCTGTGGTCAGTGTGCATTCCTACCAACAGGGCATGAGGGTTCCCTTTGTCCCACACCCTTGCCTGTGCTTATTTCTTGTTTTGAAGATAGCCACTCTCAGGCTGCAAGGTGATCATGCTGTGGGTTTTATTTGTATTTTCCCAATGACTAATGTTGAGCACCTTTCATGTACCTGTTGGACATTCATATGTCTTTAGAAAAGTGTCTATTCAGATCCTTTGCCCATTTTTTAATCATATGATCTGGATTTGTTTTTATTGTTATTGTTGAGTTGTAGGAATTCTTTAAATATTTTGGATATTAGCCCCTTATCAGACACATGATTTGCAAATATTTTCTCCCACTTGGTTGATCCTTTTTTTGTTGTTGATGTTTTCCTTTGCTGTGTCGAAGTTTTTTTTTAGTTTGATATATCCCTGCTTGTTTATTTTTGCTTTTGTTGCCTTTGCCTTTCATATCAAATCAAAGAAAATTATTGCCAAGTTGATATCAAGGAGCTTACCACCTGTGTTTTCTTCTAGGAATCTTATGGTTCCAAGTCTTACATTCAGGTCTTTAATCCATTTTGAGTTAACATTTTCGTATAGTGTAAGACAGTGGTTCAGTTTCATTCTTTTGCATGTGACTGTCCAATTTTCGTGGAATTCGATCTTTCATCACGTGAAATAAGATTTTCCATTCCTAATAATGATTTGTGTCTTAAATTTTATTTTATCTGCTTTTACAAACCTATTCCAGCTTTCTTTTGGCTAAAATATTCCTTATAATGTATTTTTCTACCCTCAGACTTTGTGTGTGCTCATGTTTTGTGTATTTCTTTTAACCTGTTTTTATGTAGAAGTTGTTATTTTCTACCTATATCTGTTATATTTGACTTTAAAGTGATGACTTTAGACAATTTAAATGTAACTAACATCTGGCCCTCTGTGATGGCCTAGGGTTTAAGTCTCACCACTACCACCACAACAGCCCACCGTGGTGGTCTGAGTTCCACCAGCCAGGGAGCTAAACCACATGGCGCAGCAGACCTCGCCTGTTTTGCCTGCTGCTCCCCTTAGTAGTATCTTTCAGTAAATTTGCCTGTTCTGCTCCCCACTCTGTCTCTGGTGAATCTTCTCACCCCCTGCCCGGTCTTCTAAACAAAAATAAATGAAATCTTTAAAAATAATAATTAATTAATGTAACTAACATCTTCATTATCATTTCGGTTTCTCATACTCTTCTGTCTCTTTTAGTCCTTCCTGTTTTAAGGATCTTACAAATACTTCACCCCAAATTATTTTCAATACCAGTTTTCACGTGGCAAACTTTCTAAGATCTTGTATGCCTACAAATAATTATATTGCACTCTCATGTTTAAATATTTTAGCTTAATATAAAATCTATGTTATTTTCTTCAATAACTTTATTTTTCTTTTAAGATTTATTTATGTGTACAAGAACTGGGGTATAAGCCAGAGGTGTGGGGTGAAAGGATTCACCAGAGACAGAGCAGGGAACAGAACAGGCAGATCTACTGAAATACACTGCTGAGGGGAGCAGCGGGTGAGACAGGAGAGGTCTGCTGTGCCATGTGGGTCACCTCCCTGGCTGGGGATTGAACTAGTACTGCAGTGGCTGCATATAGCTTCATAGGTTGCGTCTTAACTCCTTGTGCCACCAGGGAGGCCCCTATTTCCTTCAATACCTTCAAAAGTATATTCCATTGTTGCTTTGTACGCAGTGTTGCTATTGAAAAAACTGAAGTCACTGATTGTGTTTTAGTTATGAACTTCATATGCCATAAAATTTACTCTTTCCAATACCAGTTCAGTGGATTCAAATTCAAGTACAATTCAGTCATTTTTAGTATACTCAAACAAGTTGTATAACCATCACTGCTGTTGTAATTCCAGAACATTTGCATCACCAAAAAGCAAACCCTACACCCACTAGCAGCGGCTCCACGCTGACCTCTGTGCAGGCCCTGGCATTTAGCTTTCTGTCTCCACAGATTTGCCTGTCTTGCCATTTCATATAAATGGAATCCTTCAAGACATGACCTTTTGTATCCAACTTCTATCACATAGTATAATGCTTTCTCTTTTTTTTTAAGATTTATTTATTTATGTATACAAGAACTGGGGTACGGGCCAGAGGTGTGGGAGGTGAGGGGATTCACCAGAGACAGAGTGGGGAACAGAACAGGTGGACTGACTCAAATACACTGCTGAGGGGAGCAGCAAGCAAGACAAGAGAGGTCTCCTGCACCATGTGGGTATCTCCCTGGCTGGGGATCGAACTCATGCTGTAGAGGCTGCAAGCAGCTTCACAGTACTGTGCTTAACCCCTTGTGCCACCAGGGAGGCCCACATACTATATTTTCAAAGTTTGTTCATGTTATGGCATGAAGCAGCACTTAATTCCTTTTTATGGGTAATATTTTACTCATGAATATATCCTGTTTTATTTATCCATTCTTCAATGAATGAAAATTTGGATTGTTTCCACATCTTGGCTATTACAAATAATGCTGCAGTGAACATTTGTGTACATGGCTGTGTGTGTGTATATATGTTTTTATAATAGATTTTCAGTTCTATTGAGAATATACCTATTAGTGGAATTGCGGGGTCATGTGGCAACTCTGTTTGACCTTTTGAGGAATGACAGACTGTTTCCAAATAGCTGTTTCCAAGACCAACCCATGCCCACCAGCAATATATAAGGATTCCAATTTCGCTATATTCTCTCCAGTACCTGTTAATTTCTGTCCTCACAGCCATCCTAGTGAGTGTGAAGTTGCATCTCATTTTTAATTTGCATTTCCCTCATGGCTAATGATGGATGTTAAGCTTCTTTTCATCTGCTGTTGACCACTGGGTTGTATTCTTTGGAGAAATGTCCATTCAAATCATTTACCCATTTTTTTAAATTGGATTATATTTTTAGTGTGAAATTGTAAGAATTCTTTATGTCTTAAATACCAGATCCTTCTCAAATACATAATTTGTAAATATTTTCCTCCATTCTATCTGGATTGTCTTTTCACTTTCTCGATGTCTTTAAAGATTGATTTATTTATACATACAAGAACTGGGATGTAAGCCAGAGGTGCAGAGGGAGAGAGGATTCACCAAAAAGAGTAGGGAGAGGAACAGGCAGATCCACTGAAACACACTGCTGAAGAGAGCAGCAGGCAAGACAGGAGAGGTCTGCAGCGCCATGGGGGTGGCTCCCTGGCCAGCCAGGGATCGAACTCATCTAACTGGTGCTGCAG